AGCAGAAAAGTGACAAGAGACAAGAGATAAACACGTTGTTTTGAAAGTACCCATGTCGCGCACAAGCTGAGAATCGTAATTAGACTATAATTTCGTCTCATTGTCTATAGATCCAATTATATTTTGGGATAAGAGAAGCGTGTCATCGGTCATTATTACGATAAGTGTCCCCGCCTGTCACCCCGATGACCTGGATTCGACTCTCCACCAGGAAAATTTTATTTGTTTTTTGTTTTAGTAAAGGTTTTACGGCACTTTCAACACAATACAGTCATATAAGTGCCAAGGTTACATGACAGTAACACACACAAAATAGAAGGAGGGGAGATAAGGACGATAGAAGTTTGATAGGAGAAAAGGAGCAAACCACACCAGAGCACCCGCCAACTACCCACAAAAGCTGTTTTTGTCTAAGTGATATCGGGAGAAAAGACTGAAACAGGGAGAAGGATGGCGATACAGAGGCTGATTGAAAAGAGTGGATCAGAAAGATGGACAGACAGAAAGAGAAATTATTTTATGAAATTGTACAATAAATATCAATTGTAAACATTCTGCAATCTCTTCAGTGCTAATTAGAAATTGTCCTTTTGATATAAACTTAGTTTTCAGTCTTTGCTAGTTATGATAACGAGGATGATGAAGACAATAATAATGATAATAATAATAATAATAATAATAATAATAATAATAATAATAATAATAACGAGTTCCCCTCCAAAATGTTCCACCTAATGTCTATCCATCGGGCACCGTGTGTCTTTCCCTGTTGGACGAAGAAAAAGACTGGAGACCGGCTGTCACAATAAAACCGATCCTTCTGGGAATCCAAGAACTTCTCAACGAACTAAACATCAAGCATCCAGCACAAGCAGAAGCTTACTCAATTCACAATCAAAACCAGGCAGAGTATGGGAGAAGAGGAAGTGAACATGAGTCTAGATTCCGAGACCCAAACAAGTCAAATGTTCCTACTCCGTAGGTTGGGAGGGTGGTGATGGCTTTGGGCATTTTTTGGCAACGTTTATTTCCACAGATCTCAGCTGTGTGTTGCAGCAAAAACAGTACAATACACTGACTACTGTATCTATTATCTCTACAATGTGTAGTCTTACTCTGCCGTTGGTGTACATGTGTGTGCGTGGGTGTGATCGTGAGTGTGTGTGTGTGTGTGTGTGTGTGTGTGTTTGTGATGTGAGTGAACTTCTGTCACCTGGTTATTTATGGTGTTAATTATTATGCTCCAACTGTGGATCTGGGAGAAATGGGTAAACGCGTGCCAACTCGTCTTTTGTTCCGAAATAATTGCTGATGTTGATCTGCGAGTCATCAGTAAACATTGGTAGTCTATATTAATAGTATAAAACTGCTGTCAGCTAACTTCTGTGTCTTCTCTCATCACTTAAAACAGATGGTGATGCTTTGCGTGTTGAAAGATATTTTAAAAAAACTACAGTTACAATGCTGGAGCTTAACACCATCGGTACGAATTTCGAGTGTGTCTGTGTGTGTGTGTGTGCGTATGTGTGTGTGTGTGTGTGTGTGTGTGTGTGTGTGTGTGTGAGTGTGTGTGTGGATGGATATGCTCTTTGCTGTTTGATCGGCGAGTCGGGCGTGATCATTCATGATGTAGGTTTGCCTTCAGAATCACCACATTAATGGTCATCCTTTGAGAAACCATGTCTGAAAGTTTGTTGGTAATAAATTCGGTGTGTGCGTAGGTGCCTGTGTATTTTCATGTGATATTTGCTTTTTTGAAGCAAATATCTACTACCACATTCATTTATAAAGAAATGTGGTACCATCATCTCCCGTTATATCGGTTATATGTTGTTCTTATCATTAAAGAGTCAAATGAACTAAAAAGAAAATTAATTTTAAAAAACAAAGAGG